AAGTTACAGCTGCCTAAGTAATCAATTTCATCAATCTTGCCTTCGGAGCAATAAATAAGAGTCATGTCCTTATACTTATAAGTAACTTATGCTTATTTTATTCATAAAGGTATGATTATATTAATAGTCGGGTAGAAAAAGTAGTTATTTTACAGATAATACCTTCTATCTTGGTAACGGAAAAGACCTGAGCAGAGATATTTTTGTATTAGTCATGTTCTTATGTTTACAAGTAACTTGGAAAAAAAGATTTTTCTTTAACTTGTCTACAAAAAAACTTCAACCAAATCTATTTCGATTCCATATGAATAGTAGCGAAATAAGATTTTTTTTAAATTGTAGGTATATTGACAAATGTTATGTCCGGTTGTATTGTTCGTACATCTAATAATATTGATATATATATAAATTATTTACAAATAGACATTTATCAAGGACGTTTAAAAGTTTTACTTATTTTTAATAATCAAGGTGAACGTGAACAATTAATTAATGATCAAGAAATTAATGATGGTAAATATCATCTTGTTTTATATGAAAGAAATTATTCATCAATTAGTTTAAAAATCGATAAAAAAATTATAAAAAAACAATTATCAAATAAAATAACAAATTTTAATATAAGAAAAAGTTTAATTTATCTTGGTTATAATACAATTCTTAAACAAGGTTTTCAAGTATGTTTAAAACTTTATATATATATATATATATATTCATTTCTATCTAAGATCATTATTTATTTTCAGGGTTTTTTGTATGGTTTTACTTATAATATTTACAATTTATTTGATTTAATTTCTCCAACATTCCAACATATTAATTACACATTTTCATCCATGTATAATGGTTCTTCTCTTCTTGTTAATCCACCCGAAATAGATAAACTTGATTATACTTTAGTTACATGTGAATATTCTTATAATGATGATTTTTGTGATGAAAGTTTAGAAACAGATTTATTCTTACCAAATATAACTTTAAAATCATTACTTGACTATTATCAAACAACTACAACGACTACAACAATGACATATTCGATTAATATAGGAAATAAAACATTATCATCACATTTTTCTACTACAAGAACTACTATTCAATCAATAAATTTTTCTAATTCATTAAATAATCAAAATATATCATCGTTTAGTGATAATATTACCAATATTCCACCACAATTCGTTTCATCAAGAAAATCGAAAATACGTATAAAATCTAAATTTAATATTTGGTTAATAATAGGACCAGTTAGTGCACTACTTGTCTGTTTAATTCTATTTCTTATCGGTTATATTAAATATAGACGAAAAGATGCGGGTACATATCAAGTTGAAGAAGCACAACGTTTTCGACCATTAATTATTGAATTACAAAATGATCAAAATTCATCCACAAATGATATATCACCATCATCACGAATTCATAATAAAAAAACATCCAAACAAAAGAAACAAAAGAAAAAAAAACAAAATGGTATAAATGAAGATAAAGAATGGTATATATAAATAGTTTACGGTAGTTTCAATGTCAGAATTTCAAGTAATTTAATTTATTTGTTTTTTTCTTTTTGTAATCAATATATGTTTTTTTTTTCTACGAATTCTTTTCTTTTTTTTTTTATATTTTTGTTATTTGTACGATGATATTTTATCTTTTACACAAAAATGTTGAATACTGATAGACAAATTCAATTTTGCAATTAATAGATGTACAAAGAATTTGAAACGTTATAGATTTAGATTAGTATGAATTGAGAAACTTTTGAAAAATATTAACAGTAAAACTATAAAACTTTTTCATAGTTAAAAAATAATAATTCTTAAAATAAAGTAAAAAAAAGAAAATATGATAAATAGTCATATAATTGTTATGTATACACATGTCTAATATGGCGGTTTATAACCGGATGTGTATACGTGTGATAAGTATGTTTATCTGTCAGAAACCAAATCAGATCATATCTTACGTCATACAGACACGTTAATTCCCGACAAAATAATATACCATATGTTTAGACACGCACACAGACATAGATAAGAGATATGAGTATAAACAGAATGTTAGTAATAATATACACATATACTTCAAATAAATTAGGTGACGATTTGTGCCATTCATGTATATTTCGTATACTATTTCAAATCAAAGAAAAAATGACTAGAATAAAATGACAGGAAACGATTAGATTTTTATAATAGAAATAAAGATTGATAATGAATGATTTCCTTATGCATTGATTAATAGTCACAATTAATTAGTTTTTGTGTCGAATATTGTGAGAAAAAACATTGTGGAAAAGGCTAGCCCTCTGGCCAGAGGGCTAGCCTGACGCAGGGTTCTTCTGCTCAATTATTTGAGCTTCCGATACACACTTCACTAACCACGTACCAGCTTTGTGGAAAGCCATGAGGATTAGCTGGAGAAGTTCTATTGTACGTCACAATTTAGTGAGTATGGTGGTCCGACGCACTAAGACATAAGTAACTTGCTCGAGGTTATTACATGACTTTGCTAGTACATGATGAACAATATAACCAGTAAGCCACGATGCCAGAACGAAATCAGACTTGCCTCTACAAAGCAAGTGTGAGTTCTTCATCTATCATTGTCAATGGATAATACTCGTTTTCCTACCTCTGAGCAAATGAGCAACAAACATAAGCAAAATGGTGAGAATATAAAATCAAAAACGATTTGATGAACTCTAAACATTGATTTCCTCTTTTGATCTTTGAATAGTAGTCAGTTATCTATTCCTGAAAGATTTTATTAAATGAAAATTGTCGACGATTTTTTAATTTCTCGAATTAGAAAATCGATGCCGATTTTATAAAAAAATTGGAAAATCTCATTCTATAGAAATGCGAAAATCTGCTCGATTTTGCGTGAAATCAAACGAAGCCTTTACACTTGCCTCTAAAATTAACCTTGATCTAGGAGAATGTTCTAAAATTCGATTTTAATCAGAGCTGAGAAACTCCTGTTAGGTACAACTCCAACTCTGTTTCAACTCCGAATTAAAATCTATTTGTTCTTTTTCCTTCCTGGTTTTTAATTTGTCCGTATAACGGTCATGTTTTCTTTTTATAATAGTATGCATTATGTAATCATTATAATAAATTAAAATTACATTTCAACAATGTTGATTTTGAAAGCATATTCTTTGCCATACTACTACGATATGATTGAAACCAAAAACCTGATTGTGAAAAAACACGCTCCACAGAAGCTGCTGTAGTCGGAGTTAAAGAAATTTTTGTAACCGGAGTGTCAGAGTTGGAGTTGACAAAATCTGTCATCAACTCAACTTCGGTCGTTTAAAAAGTAAACTCCAACTCCGAGAGCTCAACTCCAGAGTTGAGTTGCCCAGCTCTGATTTTAATCAACCTAGACTGTCGAAAATGGTGTAATTAATTGTCTATTAAATACCAGTTAATAGCCAATGAAGTAGTGATTAAATGGTCATTTTTACATCTCATAAATGGGAACGTTTTAGTGCCTTAAAATGACATTTTTCAACAGGCTGAAAACTGTCTGAAAATAGGCAGTTAATAGCATCATGTAATGGCCGTTTTTATACCATTATTGGCTCTTAACGGTCAATTATCGTTTTCTTTGATTAATTTTTTTGATTAATACCCCAAATATAGTGATTTCCAAAAGTTTTGGTTTCTTAGATCCACGGTGCCATCAATGATACCAGATGCAGAACCAGCGACGACTTCTACTAGACAAGTTTCGATGGCTCGTATAATCGCAGAAGAGAAAAATTTGCAAATTTCGTCCAAATTTCAGTAATATATATACATATACCAGTCATGCAAAATAAAAAGGTGAATAAAACAGCCATTTTAAATGTCAGTTTTTTCGCTGTATATTTTGCAATTGAAGAATGGCCTGTTAATAGCCACTTAACTGTGACAATTATTTTACAATTTAGGATGCACAGTTAAATGGTTGTTCTCTGCCATTAAAACAGCCAAAAAATTTACAGTAAACACTGTTAACTGCCTTTTTTCAATATTTTGTGATATGTTAAATGCCTTTTCTTGAGCCTTTATCAACAATCACATAAAAGACAATAAACTGACTGTTATCTGGCAGTTTTTTAACAGTTATTTGGGTGTTAAAAAACAGTTTTTTTGGCATACATTTAAAACGCATTAAATCTTATTAAATGTCAGTTATGTTTCACCAGGGATGTTTTAACATCGTCAAAAAATAATTTATAGATACTCTTCAAAAATGACAACCTATTTAACATAAAATACTTACAATTTACAGTGTATAGTAATTTTGCACTTCACGTACAAGTCATGACTTTTTTTTCTTAAAGAGTGTAGAGAAACGCCGAGTATTGTGATGGGGCTATCAAACTTATTACAAAAAATAGTTGAACTGCCATATTTAAAAATATGAAGAAACGTATATATCTTCTAACTACATTATGTATAGCGTACTTAGCTTCGATGATTCACGATGTTACCAGATGTTTGTGTTCATAAATAATGTACCCATGTCGTCAAAATTGTTTCATTCTGAATGATTGATTAACAGAGACTTTCTCCAAACTTTTTTTAACAACTAGCAATTAATTAGCTTGTAAGAAAATGGCTAATCAAGTCTTGTTTCGATTTTACAATTAGCCGAATTTTACACAGAACATGGATTGACTGTGCTTTATCGCAAATCGCATGAAAGTCAAAGATTTTCACGCGACTTTACTGTATGAGTATAGTTTACATAGTTTTACACAATACAAGGATCGATCCTTAAGTTCGTATCGGTTTAACAAAGCAAGCACATGTAAACAAAAACTCCATCCCACCGACAATTTCTCTCTTAGGAGTACTTGGTGTAAACAAAAAACTCATTGATCAATGTAGAATAATCAATTGATGGATATGATCATCTCTCATACAAAGTTCAGCCGCGAACAATCTCTTACTTAGGTGAGCTGTGACTGATATAATTTTCTCAAAAGGACAGCGCGATAAATAAACTATACCTTCCCTCTTCTGGCGCCATCTGCTGAGCAACAGACTGCAGAAACAACCGTCACCTGCCAGCTGGAAAAACAAACCATTTTCAATTAAAAGATAAAATAAGAATAACATATTTTCTGAGTTTAGACAAGATCTTCAAAACGCCTTCTGTCTTGAGATCTAATTAGTCAATTGGTTTAACGAATGAGTGAGTATTTTCATATAAATGTGATTGTGATTGTGATTAAGATTATTAATGTGTCAAGATAATTTAGCATCACTTACTTTATAACTCTAAAAGCGATGTCAGATTGACTCTTACAGTAGCATTGCGAATTGATTAATCAGTATTAGAATTTTTTCCATTTTCGGCAACTGACAACTAGGACTTTTTTTAATGTTATTTCTATTCATGTTTAATGTGCTGTAATACAGACATTCGTTAGAAACATTTTAATCAAAATAAGCGTAAATAGAGTTTAATATATTAGAAAGAGTGGCACTTCTTTCACATGTTTCGTCTTTTTATTTCATTGGGCATTTTTTATGTAACAGTAAATAAACAAAATAGGTTTTGATGGCGATTTCGTCGGGTTACGACAAAGTGGTATTAGTTTATCTTGACCTAGACTGTTATTTGTCATGACATAAATGTCTGCTATATTACTGTTTCTTAGCATGTGTAAACACAATCATATAAAGTTAATTAAATTAGTTAATTATGCATAAGGACGACTTATAGAATTGGTTGATCAGTTTTGACATGGAATTTGCGATAGACTCTTGTTCTAGTGATCAATTTGCTTTAGGTGAAAAATAATATGTTATTCACAAAGAATGGGTCCAGAATTCAAAAGCGAATTACTTGAATTTAAGATTGAATATGTCGCGTCTTATGCGCGCTTATCCTGTACAGTTATTGATGATTAGTTCTTGTTTTTTTCGTTTAGAACGCTAATCTCTTTTGACGAAAACAAACCCGTGGATAAAATATATAATTAAGATGGATTGTATCAAACGATAATCGATATTCTAGTAGAAAACCAATACTGCTCTTTATTTCTTGATTGTGTGTTGATCTATTCTGTTACGAAAACAAAATATTTGAATTTATCTATTTATTTATTATCAATAACGCGCAAAAATGGGTCAAACTCTAAGTGAACCGGTATGTGTTGATCGAAAAGTTTGAAGCATTTTATATTATAATGTTTTTTCGTCGCTCTAGATTACGTCAAAGAATTCCCAAAAAGTTGAAAATAGTACTTATTCGGTAGGATCTAGTTCAATGCAAGGATGGCGTATAAGTAAGCGAAACATTTACAGCAGTCAAAAGGTACATTGTCAATTTCTTTTTTTTCGGTGTTAGATATGGAAGATGCTCATGTTCATTTATTATCATTACCAGAAGATAAAAATTGTGCTTTCTTTGCTGTTTATGATGGACATGGAGGTTAGCGTAACTTCATCACACATATGTCTAATTATAGATAAACAAAAGTTTTTACTTTTTTTCAGGTGCCAAAGTTGCTCAACACTCTTGTAGATATTTGCATACTCGAATTGTCAATCAACCAGATTTTAGTAAGTCACTTATTTTGCTAAGATTAAGACTAATTTAGTTACGAAAAGTGAGTCATCAAAGGTCGTCGACCTATTATAACAATGACTAAGCCAACAAACAACAACAAAAAGAAACTATAAATGGAAAAATAAAAATAAAAACCAGAAAACTGGTGTATGAAGAGAGATAAAAAAGAATAAAAACAAATAAACAAAATAACAAGAGAGTAACAGCACTATGCTTGTTTTATAACTGTAAACATGACTAAGTTCTACTGTAAAAGATACTGAGATAGAACTATTTTGAATGATGATAAAGAAGATGAACGAATGACTGATTCCCGCAGTTTATTCCAGTCAGTAACTATTGGATAAAACAAGGAAGAAGAAACAGTTTATGGAACCATTGACAAGCGGTGGAATACGAACATATTTGGAATGATAACAACGTAAAGAATAATGAGGATGATCCACAGTATAGAAAATGAAAAGAGGACTAAGATGATGAAAAATTTTGAAAAATTGTATCAGCCGAAAATATTTACGACGAAATGACAGATTTGGAGGAGACAGCTATTCAAGAATGATTAGTTTAGTTGCAAGCAAAAATCATTAAACAGGAATTCACTTACAATAAAATTCGTCAAATTCTATCTACTAATGTTGTATTTTTTAGAGCAAGGAAATATTGAAAGTGCGATACGAAAAGGATTTATTGAATTTGACAAGGAAATGTCACAAGGTATAGCAACATAATATTTGAAAACAATTGAATTCGCTACTTTTATTTTTCGATAGATGATGAGATGCGAGAGGACTTGGCTGGTACAACAGCGTTGAGTGTTATAATCAAAGATCAAAAGTTATACTGTGTAAGTTAATTTACTTTTCATAGAGAAAACTTCAGCTACAGCAAAGATGAATATTAATGTTTTGTACAAGACATGAGTATTTCGTGTTTTTTTTTGTACGTTAGTTTTTAAAAAAATATTACTTTTCCCATAGCTCAGTACTGTGAACACTGCTGATCTATACATCACCCCTTTTCCTATGGCTAGTGGAATTTTCTCATTTCACAAAGGATTCTGTTTCTGACGCGATGAAGCTATATATTTTCGGTTTACATTAATATATAGTATTTTTAGGGGAATGTGGGTGATTCACGAGGAATTGCTTCCGTAAACGGAAATGTTGAGTTGTTATCAATTGATCATAAGCCGAATAATGATGATGAACGAAAGCGAATAACATCCGCAGGAGGATGGGTTGAATTCGGTCGTGTTAATGGTAAATACACACGAAGATAATGTTCTTCTTATATACAAATTAGTAATCATCTTATACTCATTAGGCAATTTGGCGTTGTCACGAGCATTGGGCGATTTTATATTTAAACGCAATACCGATAAACGTCCCGAAGAACAAGTGGTTACAGGTATGCATAATAAGTTATTTTTCGGATATTCTGATTAACTACTGTTATTTATTTAAGCATATCCCGATGTTATGGTTAAAGATGTAACTGAAGACTGGGAATTTATACTATTAGCATGTGATGGAATTTGGGATGTATTGAGCAATGAAGAAGTACTAAAATTTGTTCGTGCAAGAATAGCACAGCAAATGCAACCTGAGAAAGTATGTCCCTGTTAGAGAGATAGAAAGAAGATTTATACATGAATCCTCTCTACGTTAAAGATTTGTGAAGAATTAATGACACGCTGTTTGGCTCCAAATTGTCAAATGGGTGGTTTAGGATGCGACAATATGACAGTTGTATTAATCTGTTTATTACATGGCCAATCTTATGCTTCATTAGCCGAAAAATGTTCCAAAGGCATGTCGAATGGTGATGCCAACACTACAGATTCGAAATAAACATGTGTAAATAGATGTAAGATCAATGTAATCCATGAACAGGTACGCATACACACGGACAAAAAGTTATTCCTAATATATTTTCTCTTGCTGTCTTTTTCCTTCAAACAACAGAATATAAACAGAAATGGATATATTTTTTTGTTTATTTGTTTTTGCTGTTTATAAACACAGCTAATTTCGTTTTTTTAAGTTTGTGTGTATATATCAGTTTGGTCTTTTTACACATGTACGCACACATGCACTAGTTTTTGTATCTTTTGTTTTTTCATGGTATTATCAAACAGAAAAAAAAGCGTGAGTATACCGATAATATTTTTTTTGTTTATTTCTATGTATTAATACATGTAACACTAACATCTTATTTCCGTGGATAGAACAGTATAAATACAACAACGCTTATAAGTTTGCTCTAGGAGCAAATATGAAAAAAACGTTTTTCTACGAGTGATTATTAGTTCCTGTACAATTGTTTATATCAATATGCAAACGCATAGGTTACCGTCTGTAATCGACATATTTTTGTTCTGCTGTTGTGTGCTTCTTATTTTACAACGACACAAATTTAGTTTGTTTATTCTTTATTTTTTTATATAATGCTCGTCTCTCATTCTCCCATTTTAAGAAAACAAAATATAACACAACTATTCCGGTGCAAAGTACTTGAAACAAATATTGGATTTTGTGCTGTTTTTTTCTCTGATTTGTTTAGTTTTGTTTTGTGCCTTCTTTTCAATTTCTTAAAACAACAAAAGCTACCGAGCTAATGTCTCCTTATTTTCTACCTTTTCTTTTACACAAAACAAACAAAAAATGTTTTACACATGTTTCGCGCTTGAATTTTTGACTTTGTATAGGTCGTTTTTCTGCTTATTTACTTTTTTTTTCTTTTTCAAATACAGAAAGTACATATGGTTATGAATTTTGACCAAAATATACATTTCGTATTTATAGTCTTTTGACAATACTGAGCATATACCAAGAGATATGGTCGCATATATTTCGTCATTTCTGAAGCGTATGTAAATTAATAATTTTCTGCATCGTACGCTTTTAATGTTCAAGTGAAGTAAACAAAAAAAGACGCAAACAACTGAAATATTAACGACCCTTCTAGCATGTTTAACATACACGTTCAACAAGTTTAATAGAAAAGAGTATATAATAAACATAACTGTCCTTTTTTCACAGAACATGATCACCCACCTCTCATGAGGTTAGTCTCACTTCTCTTTCTAGTTTGTTATTTATTTTTTAACTTTTCCGCTTAATTTATTCAAGTAGTCGTTGTTGTCAAGTATTGACATTCGTTTAGTATTTACTGTTTTCGCTAGGCATTCATGCAATATCAGCTGCATAAAACCACGATCTGTATGTCCATGTCAAAACGGAAAGGTACATGCTATGTAAAAGATTGAAAATGGAAACAGAATATAAACCAAAGATGATTATGTCAATGATGAACTGTAAGTTTCTACAGAAAAACATATGTTGGCAATTTTGCCTGTGAATTGACTGAAAAATAAATAAAATGACGTGATAAACTGAATAATTTAGTCTTTTGTTAATTATTAAATTTAACACATCAGGCTTTTGTGAATTCCTTGTTTTGAGAAATTGAGAAATTCCTTGTTTTATAAAAAATAGTAGACAGTTTAGAATTTAATTGAGAGATCAGTTCTCCGAGGCAGTGTGGATTTCGATCACATATGAATAAAAGAAAACATAACAAAGTATGAAAAAAGGTTTTTCATACAACAAATAAGAAAAGAAAGTGATTACATGATGTGTAAGAAAAAGAAGAAGTGATGTAGTGTTGAAATTATATGATAATCTACTGTGATATCAAGAATAGTAATAAATAGTGAAATGTGTATAGCAGGAATGATTGTAAAAGAAGTCATTCGGTATTGTAAAATCTAGCCGTGTCTGAAATGAAGTCATAAAGTAGTATGTACATTTTATTTAGATCAACGATTGACAGCTCCCTCACCGATCTGTCTCTGTATAGAACGCAGTTCATCGTAATTCTGACAATAAAAGAAATAATGAAAATTCATTTGGAATTTACTTAAGTGAAATGTATCCTCCTAAATAATTATTTTCTAAATCCGTATGTCTGCTTTCAAAAAGCTGCTAATAATAAATCTATTTAATCTGACAAAAAACAAAATTGGTTGGAATCCATTTGAAAAGCCTGAGACCGGAATGAAATCCTAACAATTCGAGTTTCTACTAGGAAAACCTAATTTCGTTTTCTCTGCTTTCTTTTGCTGATGAACGTTAGCAATAAAGCATACGCCTGTAAATGTATCTCATCCACAAAAACGTCTGGAGAAAACTAGCAACAACAGGAACATAGTATTAATCTTTCAGTTTCATTACAACCAAATCAACTTAGCGTTTACAACTAATAATTTTCAACATCGATCTTCACTGGTCACTATGTGACTTTAATAGTCAAATTAATTTTTTTATTAATTTTCATCACTTTTTTATACATGCACTATTGCTCCTTAATAATTTTTAGGAGTAGAACGTGCACGCGACATACAAAAGAATTGTAAAGCGTAAAAAGAAGAACTATCAGACGTGAAAAAACGGCAGATATCAGGGTTGCCAAGTGCAAAGTCCGTAGTTCGGAAAAAAATGGTATTGAAAATCGGAACAAGCATTTTTTCTAGAATACCTTAACAAGGTAAAGATATCAGGCTTTTTCTGCTACAACAATACATGTTCGTTTTTTCAACAGAAAAAACACATTCAATAACAGTTAAGAAAACCTATTATCTGAAGCATTGATTGTTTCTTTTGACAATGGAAATAGTACAATCTTGTGATAAATATGAATGAGCACGTTTAACGCCATGAAATACAAATGTTGCGTCAATGATTGAAAATTTATCTAATTCAGTAAATGGTATAAAAAATGTTTCAATTGAGTCTAGAAATCGTTAAGAAATACAAAAAAAGCTTGAGAAAATAAATTCAAAGGAATTGGACTTAATTTTTGTTTTGTTTTTCATAAATTCTTGATGTTTTATAATGTGTACATGTTTATCTAGATTGTTTTTGCCCCCATCATAAAGCAATATACCACAATTACACGATGAACAACTTGCTTTAGTAGGTTCATGACGAACTTCTTGTAAAAAGTCAGAATATTTGGGATCTTTTAACCAATTTTTGCTAGAAACATCTTTTTTTTGTACCAGAAACACCGTTGCGCTTACGTTTTCTAGTGACGTTTTGTATTCTTTTATGTTTATTCTTAACTGAACCTAATGGAAAGTCATTTTCAGACATGTCCCCTGCCATCGATGATGTCAAAAAGAATTCAATCCTTCAACAATTTCTCCAATTTAGCAGCTAGAGATCAATAATTAGACTACGCCTTTATGCATAAAAAAAGAAAATGAATAGATTTTTTTGTCCTATCCTATTGGGAATCCCAAATTGGGATTCCCACTATATCACATAAACAACTAACCCATGACATGTGCGTTATCTTTCAAATAAACATATATATGACACACATAGAAAAAGAAAGAAAAAACTGCTTTAAGTATGACGTTATGTTAATCAGTTGAATTCTTTTAAGAATATATGCTTTTCAGAAAAAGTAGAAAGATCCACAAATCGGAAAGTCAAAATTCATTCGGAAAACAAGCTCAAAATCGGAAGACATGGCAACTCTGGCAGATACCTTGTTGGACCAACAGAGTACGACATCAGCTTTTTATGGTCAGAGTTAAACATTGCCGATTTTGGATAGCCCTAAGTATCTGCTTTTGAATACACTATAGATTTATGCTTTTACGTTGATTTTTGAGGGAATTTTCTAAAGACACTGAAGACAGAAGGATCATCTTTTTTTCAAAACTGCTTTTTTTAACTTAAACCTATCGCTGGCTGTTTACAAAATTTCTCCTCTATTTTAAGCTCTAGAAATCTCGGGTTAGTCTTAAACAAAGGGAAAACCCAGCGCTATGACATAGCAGAGCCCGAACTCTGAGAAAACTAAACATCTAGAGTTCAAATTTTTAGTGAACGTACCTTGACAGGACTAACATTCTCTGCAAATTTGGTTAAGATCGAATATTTCCTTTCAAAAATAAAGTTTTGAGTGGAGATAGGCTTTTAAGGAGCAAAACAACAGTCAAACCTTGAGACATGCTTCAAAGTAGAACAGTTATGTCTTTGAAATGAAACTAGCGAGAAATTCTACAAAAAAGCAATACTACTGTCATTTCCTCCTCATCTTTTGTCGAAAAGTTGTTTTATGTGCTGAATGAGTTTTGGGATTATTATGTCTTCTTTATACACAAAGATTGATGTGCTGCTTTTATCTTCCGCCGTGCTTTAATTCTTATTTTAATGCTTACTCAAAAACAATAAGAAAACAATATTTTTGTTTACATCTGAAAATGTGTACAAAAACAAAAACAAAATTTGTTGTTCTATATTTATTCTTCTTTTGTTTGTACTGTACCACGAATACGACCAGTACGTCTGGCTGCAATCAAACCAACCTAAATATTAAACAAAAACCAATAGTAAAAATAATTAGAAGTACTAGAGAAAATAAAAACAGACCTTTCTACCAGGTGGTGCGTATCTGCTAACTGTGGATGGTTTTCCAATGTGTTGATGGTTACCACCACCGAATGGATGGTCAACAGGCTAAAAAAACACGAATCAATATAGGTTTTATAAGCATAACTGATTCGTATCTCAGAATACTTACATTCATGCAAACACCACGAACTTTCGGCCATGATTTTCGTTTCGATTTGAATTTGTGAAATGAACGTCCTGCTTTCAACATTGGTTTATCAATACGACCCCCACCAGCAACAATTCCTAAAGTAAGAGGAAAATAGCATAACAAAAATGTGCCTCAGAAGAAGCCTCCACACAATAGTTATATATATATCACACTGCTTTCTTCATTTTCCCAGCAGTTTACAACATTTCACAAACATTCGTATTGATGCAGGTCGAGTACTTACCAACCATCGCACGATTTGAAGATGATAGTGTCTTTTTTGCGCCTGATGGTAATTTGACTTTTGTTTTTTTTGCTTCTGGGTTATGTGAGACAATTGTAGCATAATTTCCTGAAATAAAATTTTTAATGAATACACAGGTATTGCGTATTTGAAAAAAAAGTAAAAAGTTTTATCTACATTGTTTTGAGCTCAGACAAAAACATCGCATCAGAAACAAAATCAGTAGTCGAAACAGATAGTTTATCATCACAGCTCCATGAAAAGATCAACTTCTATCGAAGGCAGATCATTGGTAAAAAGAAATAAGTTTATCACCAACCTGATGCTTTAGCTAATTTGCCACGGTCACCCGTTCGTTCTTCTACTTGGCAAATCACAGTTCCTTCGGGCATAGCGCCAACTGGCATTACATTACCAATGGTTAATGCAGCTAAAATAAAGGATAAAACAATAATAAATTACATTGTTCGCGTGTGTACATTTAAAGCAATGAAAGGAAATTTAATAAAAAAAATATTTACGATCACTTCAGAAAAAGCCTCTCTATTGAACAATATCATTTCAACAAATTCAAACAAATAGATCATCATCTGTGACGTAAATTTATGAGTGCAAATATTTTTTTGTGCGGAAAAAGCTTACCCTTTTTTCCACAATAGATAAATTGCCCAGTATACATTCCTTCCGCGGCAACAACGAGTTCTTTTCGTTTTTTATAACGATATGGATCACGAAAATGTACAACGGCAAGTGGAGCTCCACGCCTTAACAAACAAAGTAAAGAATAAAACTATGCAACTGCAGTTGACATTTATACAAAACATACCCAGGGTCGTGAATAATATCCTAGAATGAAAAAAGCAGCTCAGTTATTTTCATAACAACTTTATGCTCTAACGAAAGCCGCAAGAGGGAAGTGTCCAAACTTTAATGACAAGAAAAAAAGACAAAGTCGCAACAGTAACATACTTTTATGACTCCACGTAGGTATCCCTGTCTTTCAGCATAATCAATCGAACGTAATTTTGCTGCACCTTTTCGATGGAAGGTTCGTGATTTGAAAATTGCACTGCCACCTTTACGTTGAGCGCGTATGACACGGCCCATTTTTTAATCTCAATCTAAAAGAAAATTTCAATTACAAAAGAATTAGATATGAAATGGCTCTGCTACTATAATAATAACGTTTATTCTCGTATAGTGTGGAATCATAAAAAATTCCGCGTGTAAAACGATGACCTCCATAATAACAAAAAAATAGGCTATAAACAACTAGATATTAAATGCAGGGAGTAGTAAGGGTATCTTAGGGGGTGATAGACACATTATAAAAAAGACATGAGAATAAAATGAAAATGAAACACAAAATGCTTGAAATATGGCTAGTTCCTGAGAGAAGAAATAGTTACACAATGATCAGATGATTGTCCTCATGCTTAGTCAGTGATAAATTACCAAATAATTTGAAGCCGCAAAGAGAGCAAAACTGTTAGAACTAGAACTAGTGAACTGTCTTAAGACAAGTTCAAAGCCCTTCAAAACTTTTTGTAAACTGCAGTGATGTTGTGTACTCCGTGTTATTACACCCATCGAATCGTCACCATTCACCAGACGGTGTTTTTATGCCTCCGTACAGTGTGAAAATGGCTTCAATATGATTAAACTTTAGCCAAACTGCTATATTTTATTTTAGCATTTTTATTCAGATTGAACTTTGGATTGAAATTAATTGTATTTTTGAGTCCCGGAGGAACGAATTTTCATAAAATGAGAAAAGTAGCCAACTGGAGAAGAGCGAATGAGTCATTGAATAAAAGTCAACGTCAATCAAGAATAATAAACAACATATTATTTGCATACATTTCAATTACATAGCTGTAGATTTTTTTGTTTGAACTTTGATTACTATGTTACAATCAAAAGGAGTATCAGATTTATTACAAGCCGAAAAAAAAGCACAGGATCTTATTGAAGAAGCTAGAAAACGTGAGTACCCACATAAATTGAAAATTTTCTCAGCGTGTTTAAGATCAATTCTGATTTAATTTAGGAAAAAATAAACGAATCAAAGACGCAAAAGATGAAGCAAAGGCTGATATTGAATATTTTAAAAATGATCGGGATTCACAGTATAAAAAGTTAGAAGAAAAGGTTTGTTCACCGCATGCTGATACAAAGCACTTTTTTCACCTAGAGCGTGCCCTAGGTAACAAAGAATCCTTCTGTGATCGATTGAAATTCAGATAAAGATATTTGGTTAAAGTCTGGGAAAAAGAATCTTATTTCCTCATCAGGCGGCTATTCATTTGAACCTAAATATTTTAACACATATGAAAAGGTAAAAATTATTATAATTTTTTAAATTTAGACACTCGGTGATCGTTCAACAATTGAAGCAGATATTAAACAAGATACAGGAAAGAAAATCGCAGATTTACGTTCACAATATGATCAAAATAAAAAAGAGTTATTAGAACGTGTGATTGCACTTGTATGTGACATCAAACCAGAATGTCATGTCAATGCACGAGATTTTGTAAAACAGAATCAGTAAACAAATTAATATTCGATTAAATTCTGTTCTTCCACATTCCTAATGATATTTTACTAGCTTAGTTATTATTAATGGTGGATGAAAGACTTTATTTTATAAATGTTGCAATAGATATATGCATTTTTTATGTGTTCGTTCTGTGATTAAATTATTGTTATTTGTTTATCCTTATTATTGTAGAAGATTATTTATATATTATTATTATTAATGTTTCTATGCGTGTAATTTGCCTTCTTTCTATTATTTAAGTAATCATATTTTTATTTTCATGATGTAATTTCATACGTTCATGTCGGCAATAACGCTTCTGTGTAGAATAAATGAATGTACCGAATGATTTTTTTCCATAGTCTATTACCCACCATTGACGCTTTAGACACCTAATGTGATCTGCTTTTTGTTGTTATTGATGTTGTTCGCATTCACATTCTTCTTGTCTAATAAACTCGTATTTAACTACTTACTAAACAATTTTATTAAATAATTCATTCTCTTCGTTAAACCTCTGATGGAGAAGAACAGGAAAGGATGGTAAATCAAAACTTTTCGTCACAGTTCTTAAAAACTGTACTGATGTATTATTATAAAAGAATTTTTATCGGTGAGATACTATTTGTTAAAGCCTATTTAAGTTTGTATTCATTAATCAAACTTTTGTCTAGAAAATTCACTGAAACAGACTATTTCTGTAAAATTTTTGAAAAATGAAAGAGTATGAGCCGTTACTAAATTATAGAGAGAATTTTGGCTTAAAAAGAAATAATCTTGAAATGCATACGATAACAAAAGAGATAGTTGTACAAAAGAACATTATTGGGTAGTTGTGTCTGATCATGAGAGAAACTATTGTGTGGACTGAATAATCATCAATTACATGAATCACCTAAATTTATTTTGCTGATATAATTTTTTTGTTAACATTCTAATATTCCTAATTTTCCTGCGATTTGTTTGACTTTTTGATTAAATTGCTCTTTCATCAAATTAAAACACATAGCAATAAGAACTAAACCTAAAAGTATGTATAGAGCAGCCGATATTAATTTTTCTTTAGCTGCTACTGTCAATGATGATCCGGGAACATAGTCGCCAAATCCGATTGTCGTTAATGTTGTAAAACAAAAATAAAATGAATTTAAAAAACCCCATTCTTCTTCCCAAATATTAAACAATACTGCTCCCAATGTCAAATAGAGAGGTATAACAAAAACAGTCACCAATAATGGAACGGACATTTGTTCTTCATATTCTTCATCACCATCTTCATCAAGATAAACAAGTTGTGAAGGAAGTGTTGATTGTTGCTGTTGTAGATTTTGTGACCATGTTAAACGAGATGGAATTGTTAGATGAAGATCTTTTTCATTTAATTCTGATAATTTATTTGATTCATCATAACTTGGTGGATTTCGTTTTTCATTAAAACTTCTTTGTTTTCGTAATCCTCGAATTGTTTTATCATCTGTTTCATTTATTTTTCGAAATTCAATAGCACTCGATTGTCGATGTAATGTCGCTCCATCCTTTGTCTTTTTTTTGGAACTTTTTCGTGAAAATAAACGTTTACGGAATGAGCGATTAGTATTACTCGTTGTAGTTGTACCATCTTTTGGATCTGTTAAACATTCAATATCTGGTGGTGGTATTAGTGATGCCTCTTTTTCTACTGTTATATCTTGATCATTGTTATTAGAATTTGTTTTATCTCGATGATGACCATCACGTGTTTTCGATTCAGTATGATCTTCAGAAATATTCGTATTATTTTTTCTCAATTTACGATTATGAGTCGATTCGGATTTTGATCGTTTTAATTCTTTACGTTTTTTCTTTGAAGATGATTTTTTCAAATTTTTTTCTTCTACGATGTTGTTATCAAATGTTGCCTAAATAGAGAAACATATTAGAAAAAAATAGTAAGTCATTTTTATGAACATAAGAACAGAGGCTATTATCATCTACTTTTTGCATATTTGCTTCATCTATTTTATCATTGGTGATTATTGTTGTTTGTTGAAGTTCATTAAGTTTCTTCTTTTTATTATTATCATTATCAAGATTTGTTGTCAGTTTCAGTGTTTCATTAATATAAAATTCAATTGGATTTAAATCTGTTGATTGGCGGTTTTGATTTCGTACACCATTTATATTATCTTTATTATTATCTTCATCATCTTGAACAGAATTTTGACGAATTAATTCATTAATACGATTAATTGCATCTTTTTTACGGCCACCACCACCATTACTATCGGTCATTGATGTATTTGAACGTATTGATGTTGTCAGACTATTACGTTGTTTATGTGTTACTGGTACACCAGTTAATAGATTTAAACGTATGTCTGCTGGCAATGAACGAACATTTGTTTCTAAATTTTTCTCATCATCATCTGTGTTTACTGATGATGATGAGGAGGAGGAATTTGATGGTGAAGATGAGAGACTTTGAAAACGTAATTTTGTATTATCTAAAGACAGAAAAATAATCCATTTAAACTGACAAATTCATATGATTAAACTCTTACTTTCATCTATAACTGATGTTGATTGGACGGATAATGAATTATTATCTTTGGAACGTTTGATACTTGATTTTGTTGTTAAATTTGGGACTGATTCATTTTGTTGTGATAGTAACGTAGATTGATGATGTTGTTTTAATTCAAGTGATGGTGTTGTTTTAATATTTGTATTACGTAATGTATATGATGGTAATTTATCGAGTGTATTATTGACTGTCATTGACTTTACTTTTTGTGGACGTTTTTTTTTATGCATACGACAACATACAATTATTGTTATACGAGAAAACACAAAACGAAACATTCTAGCCATTGTTGAGCCAATATTAGCAACGAATAGCATCATTAATGGTACACCAAATGCGCTATACAATATTGTGGCAATTTTTCCTTGTGTCGTCTTTGTTGTTATATGACCATAACCTAAAATTTAATCCAATTCTTTTTTAATAAACTTATTTACTATTAAAATTGAGAATATAGACCTATTGTTGATATTAATGTAACAGCGTATAATATTGCACCAAAAAAATTCCAATCATGTTCTGAATTTGTTCTTGTTCGACCATCAAAACCTTGTTGAACTTGAACAATGACCATTGCTTCAAAACGTCTAAAAAAATATTCTATCTGTTTCTTTTTTGTAAAAAATAAATAATTATCAATACTTTTCTACTTACTCAAGTTCACGTGAGGCATAAATAGAAAAATTTCCTCTTTTATCAACGTATGGATATGAATTAACTCTGAGTAGTTCTATCCATAATTTATATAATGTTGTATTTAATTCTTCACCCATTGCCCGTCTCATATTTTGTTCATTTGTTGATTCTATTTGAATTGAAATATAGATTTTATCTTAGTGAAAAAAACAACAAAAAAAACAAAAAAATAGTTTATTAAAATCTTACACTTACCCAATGTTTGAAATAACCATCCTCCAAATGCTACATAACCAATCATAACACAAAATAGACCGACACGTGAAAACATGAATGCTGTAAATTTTTTGCAGCATGTTAAACAATTGTCTTTTGTGCAACACTTGCCTTCCTCTTTTGCTAGTTGTCGCCTGCGCATACTAAAAAATAATAATAATAAACAATGTTAATTGTTTTCTCATTGTTATAGTAATTTTAAAGATAAATAGTGAAGATATTAAAAGTTTTATATAATATTTTTAATTTATCTGTAATACATACTTTGATAAATAGTGGCCAGCTGATAATGCGCGAGCAAGTGCTGCTGTACGATATACAACGAATACCTGTTCGGGTTTCATCTTTTTTTTCTCCCTCTCTCCCACTCTCTATTTTTTCACTTTTCTCTATATTATTTTTTATTTAACAATAATTAATCTTGAAATATGATCTATTCCACAATAAAAACATGGAAATAATTATCAAATAGATGTATCTCCATTCTTATAACAATTTAGCACGTTTTTTGTATTAATAAAATTTTGTAGATATGACGCTGAGAATAATTCTAATTATTGATTGAGATCGTGTTATTGAACATCAAAATATCATGACATGCGTCTATCTTTTCTGTGTTTCAGGAATGTGTTGAGAATAATAAAAAAAAAAACATTTGGATACAATCGACAAGATGAGAGAGAGAGAGAAAAATTATTTATTATTATAGAGAAAAGGAATGCGAAAATAAAGACAATTTATCAATTAATTTAGATGTAAAATCAGATGATGACGTCGAGCGCACTTGTTTTCGGTAAAATCTTGTCTCTTCATAACTATACTACTTGATGGTAGCGATATACTCCCGATCACTTTCATCGATCATCGTGTGTATAACAAATTATTTTCTTTTTTTTTTCCTTATCTATTTATTATATACATATAAAGAAACAACTCTTCGGATTATTAACACAACATTGTGTGTGTATACCCGTTAGCAGAAACCATTGTTATATTTTCAACTAACGACAGCAGCAGCAGGATAGAAAAAGGAAAACAAGGGAAAAAGAAAATGGAAAGAAGAAAAATCATCAGTTTATGATCATTGTGACTACTCTATAAATAAGACGAAGATATAGATACGAAAGTTGATGCACCCTGTCGATCTTTGTTTCCATGAAATAATAACAAAAAGAACAAATTGATTTAGATAGAATGATAATGATTTTTGTATTTCTTCTACATTGTCGATTGACAATTTAGACCTTCCTGTCACATACACTCGTACATCAACAACAACACTCAGCTCTTATGTAATCTATGCTGTGAAATGAACGGTATCTCTTACATAGTGCAAAATAATTTTACCTTTAAATGTCATACGACACAAAACAAAACAATTAACTTAATAATTATTTTTAGAAATGTTACGAGTATTTTTCAGTCGGCATATAACGGTTCATCAAAAATATGAAAAACAAAGTGTAAGTACTTTGTTTTAGAAACAAAAATTTGTTCATACAAAAACGTTTTCACGATTAGCATTCAGAAATTGGATTATGGAAACACAATGGAAACAGGCGATTATTTTTCTTTTACACGTAAACATATTCTAAAGTACTGGACATTGGTTTCTACCATCATGATTTAGTCAGAGGGTTATATTTATAAGATGCTGTAGGTAAAGTTATGCTATACAATAAGTTTGAATAAGAATGGAAAAACGTTGAAAACAAATTAAGTTTCTTACAGTAGATACTTTCTTATGTATTCCCGGACGATTGATTATAGTTTAGAATTAAGTGTAAACCTCACCAAACTGATGAATCTACTATCGAAATAAATGAAATTTTTATTTTTGAACAATAGATACACACGTTATCTTGAAAAAAGTCATAAAAATTGTACTTCTTAGATCTGCATGAAGAGGTTTGTCCTTACCATCCTTACTATTAGTCTACGATTACGACCTTTACTTACTCAGACTGTGTGGTACAATGCAAAATACTTGGCTTTGTGTTACACTCATGTATCTCTAACTGTCTGATGTTCGTTTTTTTCATATATGATAAGTACAGGTTAAACCGAACTATCACGATTCTTCTCTAAATCTGCTATCACTGGTCCTATGCTTTCTTTCTTTTTCTACTGTCTTTTGATTCTATCGAGTTAGAATACTAATTGGCTTTTGTATATTACATTCCACAGAATATGGGTACAATTTACTCATTTTTAGTCTAATTTATGAATAAACTCTTTGAAGAGTCTATTTTCTTCACACTGTGTTTTAGAATTTATAGTGATTCTTCTTTTATCCAGGCTGAAACTATCAACAAGTTATCAAAAATTAAACGACTGTAATTGATGAAAATGAATTTTTATTTACTTCTCTATTTCGAAAACTTTTCGATGTGCTTGTTCTTTTGTTTTTTTAAAACGATTTTGTTTAACAGCAATAACGCGTGGTATTGAATCAACACGTCGTAGATAAGTTCGAACCATTCGAGATCAAATAGATAGGGTATTGAAATAAACGGAAAACGATTTTATAACACACAACACCCTTCGATCAAGAAAACGAGAAAAGAAAAGTGAGGGAGAGAATGATATTATATATATCTTTTTTAGAAATTAAAAAAAACTCTTGCAAATTGGTTTCAATTATGAACGATAAAAAAATATTGTATGTCCAAATTAATAAAGGAGATACATGAAACTAGTGCTAGAGTAAAGATCATCATTATTTGAATCAATAATTTAATGTAGTATACCCAAGAGTCTATCTAACTCTAATGACTTATGTTAAATAGAAAAAAACTATTTTATATAACGAGAACATCATCCCCGTCAAGTTTTTGCAACTCAACAAAAATAACGCGAAATAAAAGAATGTATTCAAGTTATTTAGGCATATTATACATGACCTTTTATTTAGTCCTTGCGAAATATCCCACTTTTTTAAGATAGAAGGAAATTTTCAAAATATCTATGAAAATGTCATTCATTCTTTGGTATGCTGTAAAACACATATCATGTCATCACTTTTGAACTATTTAATAACCTGAAAACACTTAAAGCTGTCGGTTAAGGTTGTCGGCTACATGTGGTCATGGTCAAAAATTCGTTTTTGTATGTAACTATTAACGGATTAATGCACTACATGTCGACCACGATCGACACAAACTTCTCACGTACGGAAGTAAACTTAATTCATAGAAAATTTTCAAAAACAATATCAAGCTCTCTTTTTGATTGGGTATGACTACCTAGACGCAGCCATATATTTCCATATTGATAATGGTTGATTAGCATAGTGACGTATAATAGACAAGCGTGAACACTATTAATGTCATGATGAAATTGGTAAACGAAATCTGATAAGGATGAGGCAGTTATCGCACATGTTCAAAACAATAAAATATTTTCTGATTTTAAAGAAATTGAAAACTCATTAATTACCGGCTCTGAAATAAAGAATGTTATGTGTGTTATAGAAAGAAAATTTTGATAAAATTCAGATGAACGAGAATCAAAAGAATAGTATTTCCGAAACAATAATCTGGTATGTAAATTGCAGATGAAAGTTTAATGATAATCATAAGTGAATTGGTTAACGTGGCATAATGAAATGAATGAATAATATTGATAGGAATATTCCAAAACCATCTTTAAAAGGAGATTCATTAGCAATATATTATCTTTTTAATGACATTGTCGGCTAACAGAGCTTTTGTTAATGGTTGGAAATTATTTATTGTGGAGAGACTTTTGCTAAACATTCATCAAGTCTTTGTGTACACTGTTAAAAAACTGTGTTCAATTGATGTTTCATCACTGAATTTTACCGTTCACAGTATATCTGTTACCATATTTCTGGATGTTTTTCTGCCTTTGCTGTTTATAAAGAGGCAGTTTTATTGCATTCAACAGTGCGTGCACTGCTAAAAAAACTGTGTTGTTTAGTTTTTCAGAGAACTGAAAAGTCAACGGGAATTTTGTTCTTCATTTGTCCCAAATAGAGAACTTAAATTCTGTTCTTCAGCTCTCAAGAACTCTAAATTTGCTTTTCAATTTTTCAAAGAACGAAAAAAATCATTTTTTTAAAAACTGAAGAACAAATTTAAAGTTCTTGAGAGCTGAAGAACAGAATTATTTGGAATTATCTCTATTTGGGACAAATGAAGAACAAAAATTCCCGTTGACTTTTCAGTTCTCTGCAAAACTGAAGAACAC